GGTCCAATGGGGTGGGTGGCTGTCCCGGTCTCTTTCTGAGGGGCCTATAAAACTAGAAATTAAATTTAAATGCATATTCAGCAGTAAAATATATAATATTATCAACACCAACATCTATAAAAGGTTAACATTAGTGCAGTCTGTGAATCGATTTAAATAAAAAAAACGAATTATTCACACATTTTTCTGTAATTAATTGTGATTAACTGCATATTAATATATTTATATTGTCATAATTTCACATTGAACCTCCAAATTAATGTAGAAACAATATAAAGATGGTATATTTTAAATATGTGTTTAATGGCATCTTTTTACTGAGTAGCCTATTATTAACAATGGCCAGTATTTTTGATAACAATGCAATACTGCTACTGATGTCTCTATTAAATGCATTTTGCCCTTAATTTTAGCCATTGATTATAGCAATTCAACGTTACAGTATAATTGAAAGCCATTATTTTTAACATTTAGTAGGTTCTGAAAAATATAATTTTTAACTTTTAATTTAAGTGAACTTAAAACAATATTCACATAAACTATAAATTGTATATGCATAAACTATATAGATTAATCTTTATTCAAGCTACAAAACTTAATCAGCGATTAGAGCAGTCGAGTGATTTCTTTTTCTTTTGTTCTGTGATTTACATCAATGACAGACTTCATCAGATTTCACTTTAAAAGCAGCGCTGTCTCTTTAAAACCTGATACACATGACGCGTATCTGACACACATCAGATTTTCTCCCAACTCTTTACAGTCATTTAGGACTTTATAACTCATTTAAGACCGTGTTTACAAGGTCACTTGCCAAAACCCAGCATTTTGACAATTGTTTGTGCTTTTGTCCGTTGAAGCGTTACTGGCGCGCTGTCTGAAGCGGATCAGAATACAGCCGAACGCGCTAGTCTTTCAGACTATACTCCATTTGATAATTATCTTCGTCCAGTGTCTGCGCTATTTCTTGACAGAAGTTATAACTGACAACACTGCCTTTATACTCCGTTAAACTAAAGTTGTGGATATGTCATAACCCCCTCACACAAGCGCTTGTCAGCGCTGCCATTTATTGATGTTGTGGTCTCCGGTTACTGTTGTTGCGTCTCTCATCCCTTTCTTTTGCGGCTGTGAAACAACGGCCCGGGCCAGTGTTGCCACCTTGTGGACAAACTAATTAGTGCAAAATAATGTGCGACCTGCGCGTACTCTTCCCTCGGGCCGGATGAAGATGAATGGCGGGCCGGATTTGACCCGCGGGCCGCCAATTGAATAGCCCTGCTTTATGATGTGTGTAGACTTAAATGTGATAAATTCTTCGCCTGCCATGCGGATACGTCCTTGCTACCTTACTGTTGATAGCCAGGTGACATAATGTCTGTTTTTCCCCTCAACATCTCTTTGCTGTTCCTGGAGCAACAAATTCTAAGCTCTTATAGAAGTAAATATTTCTCTGTACAGGTAATCACCTTATTACCTTATTAATAGAAATTAGCATCTCCTTAAATTTGAGCAAAATATTTCAAGAAACCAGAATATTTGCTTACTCTGGTTTTGGTAATCAGGTTCATTATTTTACATGACACTCTGACTAACACTGAAACTCTGAGTCAGTAATTAATGAATAGGAATGTTGTTGCAGGTCCAACAAAGGATGTTGATCCAGGAAAATGTTTTAATTGGTCAGATAACTTTACGCACCTTAGAGGATATAATCAGTGCAATCATAACCTACATCACTGAATCTCACTGGTTGTTGTGCCAGATGTTCTTGCTTTGTTTAATCTTGTAATCTACTGCAGTGTTTCCCAACCGGGGTGCCGTCTGTCGAGAGCAGGGGTGCCGTGTAAAAAAATCATTTCTTAATATTTTTAAATTGCTAAAATTTGATTTTACAGCTGGGTAATTTTGTTGCAGTAGCACGAGATAGCTTGATTTAAAACTTTGAATTGAATAAAAAATGACAAGGAGGCTAAGCAGTTAATAATAAAATAAGAACAAATAAAGAAATTACTAATGATAGCACAAATAAAAAAAAATCACGATAGGCCTACAAATGAAATAAATAGCTTTTTAGTTTTTCAGGTAGGTCTATTAAGAGATTTTTTATTTTTTACCAATTATCCAAATAATGTTTAATCCTAGAAAGCTATTATTATCAGAGGACACATGAGCATAACGGTTAGCAGATCAATGAATGAGAGGGCAGCGTTGCCAGAGTTGCCCATTTGCCCCCCCTTGTTACAACACAGTAGGGCTATTGCTGACAGGAAACATCGATGTAGTACTGTATTGTTACTCTGGTAACGCTGCCCTCTCATTCATTGATCTGCTAACCGTTATGCTCATGTGTCCTCTGATGATAATAGCTTTCTAGGATTAAACATTATTTTGATAATTGGTAAAAACATTTTTTTTTTAAATCTCTTAATAGCCCTACTGTGTGTTTGACCTACCTGAAAACTAAAAAGCTATTTATTTCATTTGTAGGCCTATCGTGATTTTTTTTTATTTGTGCTATCATTAGTAATTTCTTTATTTGTTCTTATTTTATTATTAACTGCTTTGCCTCCTTGTCATTTTTTATTCAATTCAAAGTTTTAAATCAAGCTATCTCGTGCTACTGCAACAAAATTACCCAGCTGTAAAATCAAAACTTTGTTTAATTACCATTATAACTAGCTATCTCACAATGTTTACATATG